TTCCTCCGTGACACAGAGCTCTTTCATGCCTCAGGGCCCTTGCACTGGCTGTTCCCTCTGCCTGGAATGCTCTTTCTCTGGCCCATGGGTGCTCAATAATGTTAACAGAATAAATGAGAATAGATGGTTTCTTTTATTTGAATACTAGAAATAGCTAATATAAGAGAATACGTGTCATTAACATTCTATCCATTTGTATTTACAACATTTAAATCATATGGTCTTAATATGTTAGACCTATGGAATTTCTGAAGCATGTTTATGTATTTATGGATGGAGTAGGGAGGATAAGAGAGTGGGAGGAATGAATTTATCATGTGATAACCATGAATCATGCATCCTGTGAGCTAGATGGTGATATCCTTATTTTTCAGAACTTAGGTGGTTTGGGAAGTTAGGTGGCTGGCTAAGGGTGAACAGGTAGAAAGCAGTGGGTCTAGAATTTACATGTGATTTGACCCCAGTACCCATGTGCATTCCCCAGATCCTGGTGCCTTTGAGCAGACGCAGCAGAGAGAGAGGTTTGAAGGCAAAAAAGAGGAGAGACACCTGGAAACACTGGCTTTTATGTTCATCTGGGCAGCATCACAGGTGGCTGTGAATCAGACACAGAATATCTTAGGTGTATCCAATTCTGCCTTATTTGTCCAACATGGCCTGAATGAGCTGAATTAGACCCCAACTTCGAAACTTAGTATCCATACACAAACAAAAGGTGGGAAATACAGTTAGGTGTGGCAATTAATGAGCCACCATCTGCTAAAACATCACACTTTAAGTGGGACTTAACATGGTTATGGGTTTCTTTCTTTTTTTTTTTTTTTTTTTCCTTTCCTACCATATGTGCTTAAAGACTCCAAAAAGGAAACAGCTTAATCCAGGAATGTGAAAAAGAATGGTGACATTCTGCGGTGTGTCAGTGAAATGAGAAACTTATCAGGCACTGTCTATTTTGGGGGTTTTGTGGTATTTTATGGTTCCAGGCTTCTCGTCAGTGACAAAATGGCACTGCCAAGATGACTTACCACATGCGTGGGGTATAGAAGAGCACCATGATAGGTGCTGCTTCTAAAATTTACTTTTGGCTTTGCCCTGGACTGAGCTGACACACATACAGAAAATACTCCTTTTTCTCCAAGGCCTAACTGAGATAGCGCCTATTCCACTTGGCTTAAACGTATTCTTCCCAATGGAGAAATGAATCTCTCTGTAGTAGGTTTTCCTGTTGCATTGTTTTGTATCTCTGTGACAGTACTAGTATCAAGCTGTCCCTCTTAGTGGCTTCCTGCATTTTCTATCTTCCCCTCCAGCTACCCTACCCTGAGGGCACAGGCCATGTTTTCTTCATCTTTACAAATCCACTGGGACTTTGCCCAATAACTTACATTGAACAATAACTTACATTATTTAACTCATAGATATGCTGTTGAATTAAAATAAAGTTGTTTCAGGAGAACAATTTAGAGTGACGACTTTAACACTAGCACCTCAACAATTTGCAAAATGGCGTATTTGTAGGTTAACACTATAATTGACTATATCCTTTTATTGAATGCTGAAAAAATCTGATATTACCAAGAAAAAACTTCCACACTTGTTACGAAACCTAGTATATAGTTTTAGTTAAAATGCATAGTCTGAATTGCAGAATCTAAATGTTGGAAGTGAGGAAGGATACTGCTTTTAGTCTTAGCAATGGTGCAATAGGGTGAAAATCTTTTAGAATATGCATTGTTAGGATGGTTAGCTTAGCATGGGTATGTTAAATTATTACCATAGCTCTGCGATAATTTGAGATCTCTCTCTCTCTCTCTCTTTCTGCCTCTCTCTCTCTCTCTCTCTCTGTGTGTGTGTGTGTGTGTGTGTGTGTGCGCACACTGATCTTTTCTCTTAGGAAATATTTGTTTAAAGAACTTACTGACTGTAGAGAGAAATAGGTGAATGTCATAGATATTATGGTAAGTAGGTTGGGAGAAGGCAAAAGTATTTTGTTTTGTAAATATTTAAACATGGACTGCACATCAGTTGTGATGTTTAAATGCAAGGAGACTACCAGCAGCAACAAAGAAGGACTTTGAAATGGTAGAGTGGAAAGTTCTCCCTAACCTAGAAAGGAGAGTTGGAAGCTGAAAGATGACGTAAAGTAACACTGAAGAATGTGCATTTGGCAACAATATCCGGGATAGCTGCAGGAAGGTTGATCCTGGAGTCATGGGGGCCAAGGAGGAAGCTGTAATAATAATACAGGTGTCTGGGGTAGAGACACAGTAACAGCAAGTGGTAGAAATGTAAAGGAAAGCGTGGATGTAAAAGAAATTTCAAAGGAAAAATCTCTGACTTTGCCAATTTGATAGAAAATTCTACAATACCGCATCTGAGTGAATTGATGACGTAACACTAGCAAACGAATTGAGGAGGGCAGTTGAACCATATGGAAATAAGAGACTTTAATTTTGAGTATCTTGAGCCCAATAACACAGTAAAATACCCAGGTGGAAATTCTCCGGCTCCATCTCTGTCATATGAGGATACTGTTTTTCTCTGAGGGATACACTTAGGGATATCAGATCTGGAGTTGGCAAAGAGAAATTTAAGACAGGTAAAGAATAAGCAAAGTTTGAAAACCTCGAGGTCACAGCATAGCCAAAGCTCAGATATGTGAGATGTCCTAGATGGATATTTGATCTCCCATCATCTTGGCTCCATGCTGAGCTAAATGCCCTCCTACACTGGTTATATTCACGTGTAGACCTTTCCTTCCACTCATCTACAACTGTCCAGCTTGTAGTCAGTCATTAGAACATGAGAACTTTATGACTTAAAAATGTACACATTTTACAGTGGCCTAAAATATTGAAGTCTCCAAATGTATGAGGTAGACACCAAACCAAAGAGGTATTCTCTGACTGCAATACAAATATCTCTGATATCCTCTTGGCAAAGTTTAACTCATCCTTTAAGAACTAACTCAAAAGTTACTATCTCTATGTAGCCCACCTGACCCAAGGCAGTTAGTCTCTTCATTGTCCGTGCTTCTATGGCACTTTGTACTTTTTTTTTTTTAACTACAGCATTTGCCTCTCATTCTGTCTTTGCATCTGTTTCTTGCCACTAGGCTGGGAGCATCTTGAAGATGGGCACCACTTACTCGTCTTCATATTTTTCACTCCCCTAACAGAGTGGGGGGCTAGTGGGTGATAGTTCACTGTTGGAAGTATCCAAAAGGGGAATTTAAAAAACATGGATGGAGCAATGAGCAGTTGCTATAGCGAAGCCTGTGAACACATCAGATGCCACATCCCTGCTGGCGCCATTAATGCTGCACCAGCAGAGGCAGCGCTCTCATTACATACTGCTGGCCCATATTTGTAATGTGTGACATTTTTTATGAAATACTGTCAAGGGCAATCCATCATATAGTAACCTTTGGATTATATGCTGAGACTGGTCTTAAGCATAGACATAAATGAACTTCAGGAATAATGCTATTTTCTAAAAAGAGTGTGATCAAAGATTTCTAGCTAGGAAAATGAGACAGAACAGTGTGTTCTTTTAAGTTAAACAGAAGTGCCTTAAAAGGAGGTTTTCTTCTGTCTAGCTCCAGCTGAAGACAGGGTTATTGTGTGAAAATGATGAGGTGACTCTGTAATGCGTCTGAATATTTATTTCTTGTGGTACATGTGGTGAGGACTCGAAAAGGGGATGAGGATTTGCTAAGGGCTTGACAACCTGTGGGGCTTGCAAGGTTTGTGATAACTTTATCTCAAGATGCATTTAAAAAAATAAAAGAACACATGAGGACTTGAGTGAATTTCAGATGTCAACTGTGGACCCACAGTTAAAGGCATTCTCTCTATGTATCCATTAAGATCTAGGATTTTATACATATTATAGAGTATAAATAAAAGAAAGCTTCTAAGTCTTATCATTTTTGTGTAAATCCAGATAAGACTCCTTTGATGAAATTAGTGTTTCCTGTGAAGGAAAAGCTTATAGGTGAGAGAAACACTAAAATTATAACTCTTTGTCTTCCTTAATTAGACTAGAGCTCACCATAGATCTTGCTGAAACTGTGAGAAAATCCAAGCAATAATTCACATTGTCAGGTCAGCAGAAATGGGAACGGGGGTCCGATATGACTGAAAGATTTGCTTAAGTGATCTATGTATGCACTGAACAGCTCAGAATAGGCGTACGATCTTCATTGGAAATATACCCTCTGAAGATGCTAAATACAAACAGCAGTGAAAATAAATCCCAGCAAGTGTCTTATACCACCTTTACAGATGCCATTCTGGAGGAAGTATATAAAGCATATTAATACCAATTGATGTAGGGCACTAATTAATAAGTCCCATTAAATCATGTAGTAATGACATTTAGTATCTAATGAATGCCTCATAATTCCTTCATCATTAATATTTCATACCATAGGAACACAAGAATTTTCATCCCTGGGCCAATGCAGCATGGTTTCCTGTCTCTGACATGACCACAAGGGCACTGAGTGGCACCATCAGTGCATTACACCTCTGCGGTATAGACTGACTATACCGCACAAGTGATTAACTCTTAGCATCCTGGGTCCTGGCATTTCCTCATTTTAGAAAATGTCAATCTGCCTGCCATTCTTGGAAGTAACCTCTGTGACTGGAAGATGCAAGCAGCCTGGAAGAACTGCCCCAGGCTCAGGTGTTGGCTTTGGTGTGCAGCCCTGCTTTGCTGTTGACCCCACCCCCCAGCCCAAGAGGGAAACCTGCACGGGAGAAAATCATTACTTTGATTTATTACTGGGGGCTTGCTGTCTGCAAAGGCAATAATCACCTCATGGAGCCCGTGCCACTGCCAGGGTTCATTGATCCCAGGCTCTTCTGGAAATTCCAGGAGGCCAGTCTGGCGGGAGAGCAAGTCCATCTCATAGCAGGTTGAAATGAAGTGGGACAAAAAATCTCTGGTCATCATTCTATCGCTCCACTGATACTCGGTGTCTTTTCTTTCAGAAGAGGGGCTTGAGCAGAGAGAATGCTTAGAGGCTAAGCGATGATGGGTAAGTGAGAGGGAAAGAGAGGACAGATAGAGCTGGCTGCCAAGGGGGCTGAGGCTGCATCCTGCAGGCGGCAGGACAAAGGGTCCTTCGGACGCCAGATCAAGATTCCAAGGAGTTAAATGCTAACAGGCAGCCCGACCTGGATGGGATTCGCTCCTGGGTACAAAACGGGACACTGATCAGAATCAACTTGGACAAGTGACAAGAGTGAGTCTGATGTCGGTGGATGTCTTTTAAGGTCGTTGGAGGGAAGAGGAAGGACGGGAGGGGTGTGCTGAGGGGTAGGTGGAGAGAGGCACCGAGTCCAGAGCCGGGATATAAAGGCACCAGGAGTCGGGGAGCGGAGGAGCAAATGAGTGGGGGAAAGAGGGAGAGGAAGAGTTGGAGAAAAGTCTAGGGAAAGTAGGGACAGGGTTAAGGGGAGACGGGAGGATGAGGGCGGCGAGGAGAGATTAAAAGGGGAAGGGGAGTCACTGGAGAGGAGGGCGGACTGTTGGATCGGAGGTAGGGAGACGGGCGAGGGGCGAGGGGCGTGCTCGGGGTGGGGGGCGCCGGGGCGAGGAGAAGGAGCTGGGGAAGAGGAGCGGGGCTAGAAAGCGAGAGCGGCGCGGGGGAGGGCGCGGAGCCCTGGGGCCCGGCCGGGGGCGGGCGGGCGGTGGGAGGCGAGACCAGGCCGGGGGAGAGGGAGGGAGCCGGGCCGGGTGCGCGGGGCGGGGAGGCCGTGGGAGGGAGGTGGGGGGCAGGTGGGGGGAAGAGGGAGGGAGCGGGCGGAGAGCCGGGGCCAAGTGCATTGTGTCTGGCGGCGGCGCGCGAGCCCACCAGCGGCTGCGGCGGGGCGGGAAGCCATGGAGCCGCGGGCGCTCGTCACCGCGCTCAGCCTCGGCCTCAGCCTGTGCTCCCTGGGGCTGCTCGTCACGGCCATCTTCACCGACCACTGGTACGAGACCGACCCCCGGCGCCACAAGGAGAGCTGCGAGCGCAGCCGCGCGGGCGCCGACCCCCCGGACCAGAAGAACCGCCTGATGCCGCTGTCGCACCTGCCGCTGCGGGACTCGCCCCCGCTGGGGCGCCGGCTGCTCCCGGGCGGCCCGGGGCGCGCCGATCCCGAGTCCTGGCGCTCGCTGCTGGGGCTCGGCGGGCTGGACGCCGAGTGCGGCCGGCCGCTCTTCGCCACCTACTCGGGCCTTTGGAGGAAGTGCTACTTCCTGGGCATCGACCGGGACATCGACACCCTCATCCTAAAAGGTGAGCGGCGGGCGTGCCCCGCGTCCCCGGCGCCCGCGCGTGGAGCGCAGACCGTGGCTTCCCAGGGGCGCGCCGGTACCCGCGGTCCCCTCCCCGCCGCGGCCCCGCGTCCCCGCGCCCCCGCGCCCCGGTGCATTCTTGCATCCTTGCCGCCGCCTCCGGTCTTTATCCCTTCCCTTTCTTTCCCCGCTGCCTTCCTCCTTCTCACTCTCCTTGACTCTCTTCCTTCGTCCTCATCCTGCGCGTCCTTTCCAGTCCGTGCTCCCGCAGCCTCTGTCTCCTTTCCTGCCTTCGCCTCCCTTTCCCGGGTTCTTTCTTTCGCTCTCCCCCGTCCTTCTCCGCCTTTGTACACCTGCCTGACGTGCGTGTCTTTTCTTGACGCTGCTCCCCGTAAGGGGGACTAACCGTCAAAAGACTCGACTTTTCCCAGCCGGGATCCTTCCCTCAAGTTGTGCTTCCCTTTTGGAAATACCGTTTAGAAGAAAAGTGATGCCAACCTCCGAAGAGGGGGAAGGGGCTCTCCCTGTATTGTGCGGATGCTGGTGTCCTATGGAACTGATGTGGTCATCCCAGCCTGGAGGGCTGATGGGCGGCTAACGAGGCCCTGGAACCTTGCCCCACACCCCTAAAGTGCAGTGTGTGTGTGGATTAGACTTCAGAGACCAATCGTTGGCTGGTGGAGGCTGCCCAAGGCAGATAGGACACCTGCTTTCCAACCTTCCTGCGGACCCCATACCCGCACCTTCCTCGCTGTCCAGGCACATGGTGGCAGCTGAGGAGAGAAAATGTCCTAGCCCTTGAAACTAGAACTTTCCAGATCTTGGCACTCATCACTCTGTCTTCTCTGTGTGGTACCTTGTCGGGTTGTTTCTCTTATTTTTTTTTTTTTTGTTTGGCACTGAGTTGTAGAACATCAGTTTTTTCTTCTGAGATCTGCGCAACACCTGGCTGCTGCGAATGGAATCAGATAGTTTGAATTTTTATTTTTTGGTAATCCCATTCATGTAAAAATATCCAGTGTGACAATTTGTGAAGCTTCCTTTAACTTCAGAACTTGACTCAGTATATATATACATATATTTTTTTTTTCTCTGAGATTAAAAAAAAATCAACATCTCTTCTCTTGGACTCATGATGTCAAAAAGAAAAAAAAAGTCCCAAATCAGTACATTTTAATATTTAGTAGCCATTCAGGAAAACAAACGGACAGATTTGTGTTGAGTTACAGCTTGCAATGGAATGACATAGAAAAAAGGGGGTTAATAATGTGTTCGCTTTCAGAGCCTTTTTAGTTGGTGGATTCTTCATTCCTCAAACGTGTCAACTTCCTCCTTCCCATGGCTAGCTCAGCTGGGGGCTGCCATCCGAAATCTGTCTGCATGTGGAAGGACTCCAGCACTTTGGGGGAATCAGATACAGTAAAATCTTCCTTTGGGAAGTGCACCATTTTCTTTTCTCTCCTAACTTGCATCCAAATCTGATTTCTCCTCATGAAGATGCTGCATAATTAATTCTGATGGTAGCATAGTACATGAACAAACTGTAAAAGCTGAATTTGGAGGCTCAGTTATGGAGTGCTCATTTAGGCAAGGCAATTTTGAAAGCTAAGCAGTGTAGTCTGTCTTTGGAAATGACAAAACTGCATTTGCTTACACTCTTTCTGTGCTTAGAGTATTTGATTGCATGTAAATTGGATATAGAGCAATGCCTGAAACAGCAGGGCAGAGTCCAACCTGCACTAGAAGAGGGACCCCCACAGGATATTGCACAACGCCTCTGGAAATGCCCTGGCTAGCTGAGGTGCCAGTTCCTGGGTAGTCCAGGGTCAAATAATCATAGAGGTGGAAAGACTTTGGAGGCCATTGAAGTTGAACCTCTACTGGTTGTTCTAACTCCCTTCTACAATCTTTCTGATAATCTAGCCCAGTACTTCCATAAAACAGAACTCATATGCTCATTAAAAAAAACTAGACTTTTCCAGTCACGAATGCCTATTTTTAGATGAAAACAATCTCAGATTTATAATATTGATGGTGTTTAGCTAGTCTTTTGTGTAGAACACTGAAGAGAGTTCTCGGTTGTGAGCAGAAGATATGGGCACCATTGCTGGCCCTGTTGTTAAACTGTAGTGTGTTCTCCAAGTATCCAGGCCCCCTTTGCCTTCAGTTTCCTTGTCTGGAGTATTAGGAGGGATGACTATTCTTTAGAGAATTTTCTAGTTCGCTTATCTGTCATTGTTGTAATTAATAACAATGTAAACTTAGCTTCTTGCAAAGTTAATGAGCTGACACTATTAAGAAACGTGGAGTTTGGAGGAAAGAACAGGCATCGGTAGATTATAGGATCTTAATTTGTTGTTTGGGAGATGTCCAGAAATGCCTTGCAATATTGCTACTAACCAACCTTGGGCTGGTTACATAACTCTTCTAGATCTCAGTTTCATCATCTGTGAAATGTATGGGTGACATGAACAGCTTTAAAATTCTGAGTCTATGAATAATTTGAGAAAAGAAAATGTCACCAACATTTTCCTGTCTCAAAGATGATTTTGGCACTCATGTTAGGCAAACATTATCACCTTTGTTTTGGCATCTGTCATTCGTGGCTGTGGTATGAATTTCTTAAATGAGCCATTTATAAAACTAGAAATTAACACTATATCTAACAGAGTCCCAAGTTCTATTCTTTCTTCTGTGAGTTGCCTTATCAGTCTTAGCATCGTTTAGAAATTCTAATTGTAAGAAGTGAAGAAAAGTTTATTCTGATGGAGGAGTGGAGGGGGTGGAAAAAGGGCTCAAGAACTGCCTGGCATGCTTAGTGAGCTTCTGAGAGGGAAAGGTGCCAGTCTTTTCTCCTGTGAACCTAGAGGGCAAAGCTAGGAGTTAAATGAGAAGTGCAGGGAAGAAAATGTAGCGTCGATAATATGGAAAACATTCTCACAGTAGGAATTATTTGCATTTCCTATTATTGGAGGCAAGACAAGAGAGATGTATTTCTGAGAGATGTATAGGAGATAGAAACATGCAATGTGAGCAGTAAGAGATTAATTTAGAAATATGCACAGACTCTACAGTATTAGACTATCTAAGAGAAATCACAGCAGCTAGAAAAGCATTTATCTCAATGGGACAAATATTCGGGAGAATCATCAAATTCTTGTTTTCACATACTCATTATGGTTCTAGTTCACTTCTCTCTAGCCCATACTCTGGAATGGTCTAGGCTTGACCTTCAACCAGAACCTTCAGTAAGAATGGAGGTAGTGTTATTGATAAGCTCATAAAGAATCAAGACTAGAACCCTATGCTACTCTACCAGATTGAGAAATAAAACAAAATACTTGCCAGCATAGTTTGAACATAGTTGCTTTTCTAGCAGCAAGTTCTCTTATCAGCGCTATATTGACCAATTCACACTTCACTATTTTGTTCACTGGGATAACATGAGAACTTATCAAATGCTTTAGATATGTTATATTCATATTGTATTTCCATATTTACTGTCCAATTCAGTAAATGCCCATTAGAAGCCCATTGTTTGCAAGGTAATGCAAGAAGATTTTAGCTAAACACGTGGGGGTTCTTTTGTGTTTGAGCTGGTCAGTTGACTTTAAATTAGTCTTCCATATATGCCCTTCTTGCAGCACTGGCTAACTTTCGATGCCAAGGAAGCTTTACTGGTCCAAATAAGGACTGACTCCGAAAAGTATGCAAATGAAATTAGCTTTCATCCAGCAACTTGAGTGCTGAAATAGTTGAACAAAATGGATTTAAAGCTTAGGGCTTCAGGTATCTCTGTGCCACTGTGAATGTGGGGGGTTAGAAAGAAGTCTTTAGGTGTGAAAATCTTTAAAGCAAGTGTGTGTGTCATGGATTATGTAAGGATGCCAGGAAATGACAAGGGACCAAAAGATAAGTTCTTCCTTCATTCATCCATTTATTCACTCAACAAATAGATGTTGGAGTGTTGGTTATTGTACCAGGTGTAGAAGATACAGGAGTGAATGAAATGGATAAAAATCCCTGCCTTCAACAAGTTTATTTCAAGTAGTGGAATTTGTATTTTCTAGTGGATTATGTTATAACTACTCTTAGTAGGTCATAGGAAGATTACCTGACCAGGGTGGAAGAATATTTTGGGATGGCTGATAGCACTGGTGGGTAAATGACAGAAAATGCAGTGCAGACTGATTGAGTGCAGCATCCTTTGGGGGACTCCTAGCTGTTTTCTCCCAAGTGCAGTATGTATGTTTCAACTACTGGATGAACAGGAAGACAGGACAGATGGAAGGCGACTCAGTTGGAAACATTATGTAATGCTTCTTTCAGTTCTTGAAAACACTGACTTTAATAAACATTGATGTGACTTGCAAATACATTATGTGGAACTTTGGAGAAATCAATTTTGAATAGAAATCAGAGTCATAGAAATGACATTAGAAGTTCAACTGTTCACACTAGCCTTAACTTTTTTAAGGAAACATTTTCATTAAAACCAATTAACATTACTTTTCAAATATATATGTTTTATGCATGTAAATGAAATTCTAATATGACATATTATCTGCAATACAAATAGAAAATTAATGTGTTTTTTTAATAAAATTAAAAATGATAGGATTTTAGAAATGTGAAGATTATAAGTCTGTATGAACAATGTTGACCTTTATAAATCATTTGGGTTTGAATTCTTGAAATAGAACATGTTTTTGTGGTTGCCGAAGCATTTTTCCTCTAATGAGATAAACAGATATCAAAGACAGTGGGATGTAAATACTCTGTCATTTTGTTCTCTGTAAGAAAAGGAAAGTAAGAGATTTGGTATGAATTCATTGGGTCTGCTTTTCACTCTGCTAATGATTTATCTGCTTCTCCTGTTGCTTATTTCCCATGAAATTAATAGTCTGTACAGGACCCACCAAGTTCTACCTGACACAGAAATAGATTGATGATTTTCTTCTGCTCATTTGTGGACCAAAGTATAATTTGTGTTAGAATTAT